GAATGCACTCAGGTAATACTCTGGTCAACCCAGGGTTCCATGAGTACCAGTCTGCACACAGGTGCAAAGGACGCCTTTAGAAGGCAGAACCTGCCCACTTACACTCTCTTTCGGGTTCTTCTCCATCTCTGCTCGCTTCTCTTTCTGCATCTTTTCCAGCTCTCTTCCCGCTGTTTCCCTGGGGCAGACAGGACTTGTCCTGTCTCCCTCTTCTCTTCTGCCCCCTCTCTCTGTCTCTGTGTCTCTTTACCTCTTTTCTCTTTCCTTCCCCCTTCCCTCCCCTTTCTAATAAAACTCACTTAAGCTCGATGTCTGCCTGGCTTGATTGTCCCTCTGCGTCGGTCAGCCTTGCCTGCCATGGAATCCACCATGGTCCCCCACCCAAGGTCCCCCCTCAAGCTTTATCCTAACAATAAGTCCTTGGGGCCTGATGGCCAGCCAGTCTAGCAGAATTGGTGAGTTTAGTCTCAAAAGGGCTGGAGATATGACTCAGTGGCTAAGAGCACTTGTGGCTCTTGCAGACGACATGGGTTCAATTCCCAGCACCTACATGGTAGCTAATAACCATCTGTAACTCCCGTTCCAGGGGATCCGACACACTCTCTGTCTTCCATGGGCACCAGGCTTGTACATGGTATGCAGATACACATGTAGACAAAACTCTCATAGACATAAAATAAAAATAAATGTTTTCAAATTTTAAAAATAAGGTAGAGAGTGGTCGAGTAAGACACAATGTTGACCTCTGTGCACATGTGTATAGATAACATGTGAACATGTACCCACACACCAGTGTGTGTGTGTGTGCATAGACATGCAAACAGACGATCCTGCTGCCATTACTTCCTTGCCAGGATGCTTTGTTCCCTAAAGTTGTGAGCCAAATTCTTCTTTCCTGAAGTTGCCTTTGTCAGGTATCAGTTGCATCAATGGGAAAGGCAGCCTATATAGGCACCACACTCTCAGACTGTTCAGCCTTCAGGTTTATGAGCTAAATACACGTCTATGCTTTGTAAACACTCACTCTGTGCTACCCAGTTACAACAACATAAAATGGAATGCTGGTGTGTTAAAAGTTTCAGCTCCATGGGGGTGATGTCAAAGATAATATTTCATTCGTGATACTGATGAAGGAAATAAACATTTTTTCAAAAATCTGAATTAATTATTGGTAGAGTGAAATCAGAACTTAAAACCTGCAATAATTTGAGAGAGAAAAAGCAAATATATTTTATATTATAAGAGATCAAAATGTAACAATCAAGCAGCAAGAACATAAGACAGCCAATAGCCAGTAGGTAGTGGTACCCACCTTTAATCCCAGCACTCTGGAGGCAGAGGCAGGCGGATCTGAGTTTGAGGCCAGCCTGGTCTATAGAGTGAGTTCCAGGACAGCCAAGGCTACACAGAGAAACCCTGCCTTAATAATAATGACAATAATATTTATAATTATATATAATATATATATATATAGTATAGTCTGATAATGATTATAAATGGATCTCACTCTTCCACTAGAAGTTTATAACTATTTGATAATAAAGTGTCAAACTTTAAAGCAATTAGATTCCACAACTGGAAAATGGTTAAGTATGTTGCTACCTCTGTAAATGGAATGCTATAGACCCATTTAAGTTTATATTTTTAAAGAATATATGACTTTGAAATGATTACAAAAGTCCCCCCCCCCGTTTTATTGTTTCTGCCTTTCTTTCCTTCTTTTTTTTTTTTTTTTAGGCAGGATATTTCATTACATACCATAGAAATCTCTCTGCCTCAGCTACCTGAGTACTATTAGTCATTGTGCCTGACTAGGTGTTTTCTCACATATGCCAAGTCATACGTACAGAAGTCAAATGCAAAGGTCAGAGGACAGGGTGCAGGAGTCGGTTCTCTCTCTCTCATGTGCTTCTGGGGATTGAACTCAAGTCATCAGATTTGGAAGCAAGAGTCTTTACTTACTGAGCCATTTTGCTGGCCCCTAGGCTAGGTTAATTTTAAGAGCAAAACATCAAATGATTTTTTAAATAAAAAATAGTAACTGTTATTATCTCTGGGTAGTGGAATTTCAGGGTTTTTTGTTGTTGTTATTTGTTATTTTTTGTGTGGGTACTAAGGATTCAACCTAAGGCCTCATTCATGCTACGTGAATGTCTTAGCACTAAACCTCATCTCTAGACCCTGATTTTGTATTTTATTCTTCATGTATTTCTCGATTGTCCAGAATTCCTACTCACACAATAGCCTACCCAGAGATAATAACAGTTACTATTTTTTATTTAAAAAAGCACACAGTTACTTATCTTTGTAACTAACACAGCAGTACCCTGTTTGCTGAACCCAAGGATCTCATCGGAAGGTAGATTCATTGTGCACACACACATTTATGAAAGCTGCTCTTGCCTGTATGTTTTCACACATTTGTATTCAGCACATGTGCAGCCTGGAAGTGATTAACGCCTTGGACTTTGGTCTGCTGACTTTTTTTGAAAATGGGATTTTGTAACGTTCCTTCATCATCCTTGCTGGTTTTGTTTTTTTGTTTTTGGTGTAGGGGTTGGATTGGCAGAGTCATGCAGAGAAGAGGGACACTTGGAACATAATCCTTAGAATTAACATTCTTTGTTCAGGCCTAGCTGAAGGGAGCAGGTACAATCTGATTTCAGAAGGTTTTTTTTTTTTTTTGGCAGTTTATACCCTTTCCCTTTAGGCTACCATGATCCCCTCTTTGCTCTAAGAATATTGTTTCTGCTTCCTGAGTAGACTCTTACATCTGCCAGATGTTTACCTAGGTTCTGGGTATCCAAACTTTGATCCTCATGATTGCACCCCAAGTGCTTTAATCCACCGAGCCATCTTCTCAGCCTGAATTTATAGCTTTTCATTGCAGGTCTTGCTTATTCATTCAGCAAGTTTTTATGGGGTACTTCCTCTGGCTGCACTGCACTGGGGGATTGGATGAGCACCGTGAGATAAAAATTCTAAAGCTCCCAGTGTTCATGACCAAGTGCTCATTTGATTTAGCAGGCAAGGAGAGCCAGAAAGACAGGCAGAGGAGGGTAACAAGGAAGTTCTCCAAGTAAAGACCAGCCAAGGCAGGGAGAAGGAGCTACATACTAGGTAGCTGGATACCCAACTTGTGGGTAGTTGAGGCAGGGAAGAGCTTAGGGATTGGACTGAAGATGAATTGCATAGGATGAAGTGGAAATATCAGTCAAGAGATGGTCAAATGTCTACTGTGCTAGGGCAAACAGTTTAGTTTTTATTCTGGATGAATTTGTTATCTAACTAACCTATAATTACCCCCTCTCACCTGCTCCACACTAATCCATTCATCTACTCCACCCTCAGTTCCAGCAAAACATCCACTGTACCAGACCTATAATTTCTTTTGCTTTCTTCTTCCAGTATCTTGAAGGTCTTCCCATATATATATATATATATATATATATATATATATATATATATTCAACTTCAAAACAATTTAGCATCACTTGTACCCACCTGAAGACTGCTCAGGTGATGGTGCCATTATAAACAAGAAATTAAGCAGTAATGTGACAGTGTGGTTTACCTGGCCTGGTGGCTGGGAACTATGAACCCAGGCAGGTGTACTAAAGATGTGAAAAATCGGCTTCTGAAAATCATTCTTCCCAAAGCCAATTATGAAACATTAGAAGCATGTGATGGCATATGTCCTCTATATATGAAGCATTTGAACACTTCAAATTATAATAAAGGAGCCAGAGAATTAAAAATGCACTTTAAAAAAATCTATAAATTAACCTTTTGTTGAATTGATTTTGATCTGGCTAGAGTTATAGGAGGAGGGAAAGTTAGATTTCTTAAACAGGCTAAATTTTGTAGCACATTAATTTAACATTTTTCACTGTTCTGAGGGTGCTGATTAATCCCCCACGTGCACACACACATGCTATTAGGTAAACAAGGACCGCCCAGAGAACTACTCTAAACACTTGAGAATATTTTTCTTAGTTCTCCTTTCTATGCACGGTTTTAGGCACGGCTGCTTTAAAATGTTACAGCTTTGAATCTGACTTCCTCTCCCTCCACTTAACATATGATAAAATAGTACGAGAAAAACTTATTAAAATTTTACCATTATGGCTGTCAAGGGTGCCATTAGGTGAATGTTCCACAATTTATTGAGCCAATCCCTTTTCTGAAGGGCTTAAAAAGTTTTTAACGTTTTGACCTTATTAAAAGACGGTGACCACGTATTTTCTGCCTCAGTACGCTGACTTTAAGACGAGGTTTTAGAAAATGGAATTGAAGAGGAATTTTTTTAACATATATGCTGAGACTTCTTCCTTCATGTCATACTGACTCCAAAAAAGTACTTGGCCTTTGGAAGGTCCCGGTCTCAGTCCCAGGAGTTCCCCACTCTTTGTTCCACTAAGGGAATGCAGGGTGAGGGTGCGGCTGTCTGTCCCACCTCTTACCCCTCCAACTCCCATCACAGGAAATATTACAAAAACAAAACAGTAGAACCAAGAAACAAATTATCCGGGTATGGATTTATTTGTTTTTCCTGCTTTCTATGATTCCAAGCCCAAACCAAGTCTCCACAATACACAAGCCAATCTTTTTATTAATAAAAATTAAAGAAGTAACTCACGATCCTTTTGGTTTGTGTTTCAACTTGTGGTCGGGGACTTAAATTTTGGATCTGCACGTTGCATGGCAAGTTCCTGTTAAACAATTTACTGCTCACTTTTACACCTCAGTAGAGGGGTGACACACCTGTCCTGCCACGGGACAACAGGTTCCCTGCCACTGCCTGACACCTGCTCCACTCAGGACCGCTAGGCTCAGTATCTTAGGGCGAAAGTCCCTGCGCCTTGAAGCCGTGGGACCAAGCACTTTCCTGAGCTGGGGTGCTCGGGGACAGAATGCCACCCCGAGCTGGGGCGCGCGGGATTGAACGCTACCACCACCGGCCTCCAGGCACCCGCGGAGTCCTTCGTGTCGGCACTCACCTCCGCCGTACATCTGGCACAGGTAGGGGAAGCGCCATACGTTGCCCAAGCCCACAGCGTAGGAGATGCAGGCGAATATGAACTGCAGCGGGTTACCCCACTGAGGCCGTGCCTTCTCCATGTCCCGCGCGCTCGCTGTCGGTCAGGGCCTGGTCTCTGGCCGCTGCTCGCCCGCCTTTTAATTGCTAATCTCATTAACACGCGCTAGAGGGGCGAGGCCGGTAAGCGGGGAATGGCGAGCCCCACCCCGCCGGGGAAGGCGCCCCTCCTTGGCACCGGGTGTGGACTTCAGAGCGTGGGGAAAGGATCACATTTCCTCAACCTCTTACTGATTCATCGATGGCAATGCTATATGCCAGGCACTGCTGTGCAACAGGGAAACACAGCACTCTCACGCCAGAGCTGACATTCAGATGGCAGATGGCGGGAACATTTAAATGCTGCGGGATGACTTGTTCTTGGCTTCTTATGACCTACTGGGGCAGTTTCATTTGGTTCATACCACCTAGTTCACCTAAATCGGAGATGCAGGGACAATTTAAAGGGGTAAGTCCCAGCACCAGATAGACAGGGACCCAGGGCATTCCAGAGGGTAGATGACTTTTGCAGAGGTCCTGTGTGGAGGCTCAGTGGCAGAGCACTGCCCTGACACTTGTGAGACCCTCAGTTTGATCCTGGCTCACACGGGAGACCTAAACTTCTCCATCTACTTGCCTTTCCCTACACCGGCAGGGTGGCAGAATCAGGTTTTGAACAACTGCTGTGAGGCCTATGGGAGCTAGGTGGTAACCTAAGACTGTTCATGCTTTTGCCGGTCCAACAAGGAAACGTGGTTGAACCCGACTCCACAAAGTTTAGTGCAGTGACCTCGGGTCTGTTTGTCTCTACTCCACCACTGGCTAAGCTCTGTGACTTGGGCAAGTCATTTAACACCTTTCATCTGTAATAGAAAACAAAACCAAATCCCTGCTCCCCCCCACCCCCACCCCAACAAGCTTAAACTACCTATCCTAGAACTTTTAACCTTAAAAACAGTAAGAATAAGGCAGTCACAGTACAGCAGAAGGAACTCTGCTACTTAGGCTTCAGATTATAGATTCTCCCCCCCCCCCCCACACACACACACTTCTGCTGCTGATGAACATTTGTGTTGTTCCAGTTTGTGGCTACTGTTCTAGCATATTCCTCTGATGGATGTACTCACTGTAGAGAACTTTGGGACTACGGACAGCATTAGGAAATACCAGTTCACAGTCTCATTAGCCTCAGCTGCTCTGCAACCTCGCTATCACTCGACATTTGTTCAAAAAACAAAAACAGGTATTTATTGGGGGCAGGTGCCACAGCACGAGTGAGTGGAGGCTGGAGAACAATTTGCGGGGGACAGGCAAGTGATCTTACCGTCTCACTGGCCCTGCCATTCTGTTCTTAAAGTTCTGTCTAGAATTATGACTGTGCACTGATGGTTCAGTTTGCCTTTTGATTTTCCTGACAACTGACAAGTCTGCAACCTTTCCATGTCTTCACTGGGCCATCAAAAGAGACCCAGGGTTCTGAAATGTCTGCCTGGGCCTTTGGTCAGTTTTTACTGGGTTGTCTTTTTCTACTGATTTGCATTTGTTTCCCTACTTTGACTATGGACCCTATATCTGCTCTATATACCAACAGTTTCATAAGTATCTTCTCACAAAGAGAATTCTTAACTTCAAGAAAGTCCAGTTTGGGCTGGAGATGTATGTAGCTCAGTTTGTAGAGTGCTTGCCTAACATGCATGAGACCCTGGGCTCTGTTCTTAGCTCTCCATAAACGGTTATGTATGGGGATGTACACCTGTAATCCTAGCACTTGGGAGGTAGAGGCAGGAAGGATAGAAGCTCAAGGTCATCCTTGGCTACATGGCTAAGTCAAGGTCAGCCTGCTATAGGAGACCCTATCTAAAAAATAAACAAGTAGGCTGGAGGACTGGAGTCCAGTTTCCAGCACCCACATGGCTAGCTCACTACCATCTGTAGCTCCAGCTCTAGGGGCTCCAATACCTTCTGTTGTTGTTTGAGGGCACCTATATGCATCTGCATGTATATACACACAGACACATATGCACATAATATAAATATTAAAAAACAAACAAATCTAGCCATCTTTTAAAAAAAGTTTTCATGATCATTTTTTGCTGATGTGTTACTTTACAGTCTTTTTCTGCCAGGAGTGTGGTGCATACCTTTAATCCTAGCACTTGAGAGACAGGAGGATCTGTGAGTTCAAGACCAGCCTGGTTTAACATGGTGAGTCCAGGACTACATACAGACCCTGTCTCCGAAACAAACAAAGAAAAACCAAAAACAACAACAACAAAAAGCCCAACTTCTTCCTTATCGAGTCCAAGGTCATGAAAATATTCCTGAGCAGTCAACACCTTAGCAAAGCTAATCTCAGCAGTGAATGAGTTACTGCCTAGAGACCGTCATTCACTGATCCTGGATCTCAAGGAGTCTGCTAGGCTGGCTGGTTAATGCACTTCAGGAATCCTCCTGTCTCCACATTTGCCCTCTCTCTTCAGTATTTGGAGAAATAGTCATGTGCCACTGTCTCTGGCTTTTTATGTGGGTGCTGGAGATTGAAACTCAAATCCTCATTCCTACACGCAGACCCTTTACCCAGTGAGCCATCTCCAGCCCCAGCAGTCCTGGTAAGGGGTCTAACTACAGGAGAGGTGGTGAACAGTTTGGACAAACAGCTGTTGCTGCCACCAGCTATGTACTTATGTTTTGAGTATCACAAATTAGTTTTTCTATGGGATTCTTACTCACATAGTGACATTTAGGAACTGGGCACTTCAGGAAGATACCCAGAAGAACAGTTACCGGCCTCACGGAATTTGTTGGTTCAATGGTGGCAATGCCCTTCTTTTAGTCCTTACTCTAGAGACCAGACTAGTCTTAGCTGCCTTGGGAAGCCAGCCCAATATGAGGCTCAGTAAGTGAGAATCCCTGTCTTTGTCTCTCTGTGGTGTGTGTGTGTGTGTGTTTGTGTGTGTGTGTGTGTGTGTGTGTGTGTGTGTGTGTGTGTGTGTGTAGCATAAAGAATCACCCAGGCTGAGTAAATGCAAATAAAGTAGTCAGATACCATGCCACCCCAAAAATGCATTTGACAAGTCTAATCTGAGATGTTCCATTGGGCAACAGGCTGCTACAATCACAAAGAGCGTGGTGGTGGGGGACCTCTACATGGAGAGAGTAATGCAGTGTGTGGACATTAATGGAAGAGTGACAAATGTATATAATTTTTTGCAGAAAAAACGCTTGTCTGTTTGTAATTTCTGTGCAAATACCTCAACTTTAGGCTATTTTGAGCTTCCAACATGTCACTGGGGTTGGGGAGAGGACATTCAGTGGCACACCATTATGGTGTATTCTCACCATGTATGTACAGTGACATAGGTAGCCACAAGAGCTTAGCTCATAGTAAAGAATAGTAAATAATTGGAAATGATGATTTTCAACAATAACTTAGTCCTCAGTAAGGACTGTATTTAATAAAACAAGTTCTCAAAATTCCTCTACATGCCCCAATTGGTCACTCAGAGCTCCATAGAGGATTAGGCAGTAAAGTGAGCTCAGCTCTTTGAGGTGTTTCTCTTTGGAGTGCTTGGTGTCCCAGAAGCAGTTTTCAGACAAGCTTTAGTGCTCAGAGGAGCCTACTCTGGCTTATGGGAGAACCCTTTCTTCAGACTTGACCTTCACTGCATCTATGACAATCAGGACACAAAGGCCTGAAGTTCAGGTTATGCATTTTCCTAAAGAGAGGAGAAGAGGGGGGCATGGCTTGAGTGTATGGGTGTGGGCCACTAAGTGCATCCTGGGATTCTATATTCTTACCTTATTAATAAGAAGGCCATGTAGCTTTCAATCATTTGCTCATCTTGGTGATTTCCATTGTTACCTAACTACCATCTAGAGGTTCCAGTTCCCCACAAGATAAAGTCCAAACTCCTTAGCTTTGTTTGCAAAGCTTTGAGGATTTTTTAAATTGAGTCCTGAGGAATTTGACCCTTGCATGCCTGGGTTCTTGAAAACAGAGTTTAACTTGTAAGTATAAAAATACACAGCATTTTGCTGCAGGTGAAAAACCTACCTTCTAAGGATGAATAGGACATATCAGCCACAGCCCAGAAGGGACACATACAATTCACTTTTCAGAACAAATGCAGCTCTGCCGGGCTTGGGGCACCAAGAGCTGGCTCAGTGATTAAGTACACTTAGAGGACCCAGGTTCAATTCCTAGCACCCACATGGTGGTTCACAACTATCTGTAATTCCTTTAACAGATCTGATACCCTCTTCTGAATTCTGAGGGCTCCTGCCACTCAGGAACAAACATATACACATTTAAAAGTAAAAATGAAACTTTATGATACTACCATGTATGTAAGCTATTGTTTTTCTCATGTATTTTTAGATATTAAAAAATTTTAAAAGAATCTCCTCCTCCTCCTGTACTTTCAGGGTCATATGTCTCACACTAGGTACTATGACCTTTTCAGAAACTGCTCACAGGCTTAAAGTCTCCAGGATTTTGATATTATGCCCAGGGCAGCCTCATTATAGTAACTAGTGTACTTTGCATTTCCATGTGGAATTTAATTTGCCAAGTGTTAAGGTTCCTCAATAACAGAAACTTGCAGGTAAGCCTATTCTTGTGAACAGCCTGGAATTTACTGTCTCTTATGACAACCATTTAGCCACTGTGGCTGATGGTTTCTGTGTGGGGACTGGAAAGGCATGGAACATCATTGTACAACTTCCTCTAGGCAGTCCTGACTTGGAAGCTCAATGATAATGCCTGCTATGCAGCCCCCCCCCCGTCTATGCTTAGACTGTAGGCAGGTGTGTGGGACAAAGCTGTATGCTGCATGTTGTGCTGTTTCCTCAGGAAAGTATGTGACTTTCTTCTTGCCTCTGCTCCCTCCTTGGGTACTGACCAAGGGCATCTCAGGCTTCTCCAGAGCTACAGCTCCTCATTCTCTGGCAGGAAGGTCACCCATTCTGCCTTTCTGTCCCATGGGCTCCAGATTCTGTGGTCTCACCAAACCCTGACTTGGCCCTCCCTGTTTTTACAAAGTTCCCCTCTCTGCCTGGACCTCACAGGTAGTTGATCAGTTTACACATCTTTATCCTACCCACATTTC